TGTGTGTGTGTGTGTGTGTGTGTAAATCATGAAGCCAATAGAAGTTTTCAAATGCTGCCCTGTTAATTCCTCAAATGAAATACATAACTCAACTCTCTTTTGTGTTTCCATCTGTAGGGAAGTCTCGAGGTCTTTACTGGACTGGGGCTTGTAGTCGGTCCTCCTCTAGGTGGCTTCTTGTATCAATCCTTTGGCTACGAGATGCCTTTTATTTCTCTGGGGTGCGTAGTTCTGCTGATGATACCACTCAACATATGCATCTTACCCAGTTATGGTAAGTCTACACTTGCTACTTGGTTTAGGAATCTTAAATTTATTTCTATGCCTTTGTAAGAAAATATTTGATCAGATATTCACTTTGATATAATAAATAATGGCTCTTAAATGCACCTCGAAAGAATCAGTTCTCTTCTCGTGAGTGTTGAATGGAATTGAAGTGTATGGGCATGTCTGCGGATCGCAAATCCTTTCTGACATTTACAGCTACCACATATGTAATTTGTGCGCCTAAACTGTCACCACACGCGTTCTTCTGGGTCTGAGCTCAGAGTGGCTCTGTGATCCTGGGAGGCTGTAGGGTGAGGGACACAGAGCCGGAGAGGTAATACCCCACGCAGCCACACGGGGGCGCGCGTCTTTGAAAGCGCAGTGAGGTTTGGTTCCTAGTTAAACACCTGGGCTGTACTGATTAGGCGCAGAGAGACCTCCACCCCTTCCTCCCGAGGCCGAGCCGCATACTTCCCCATCGTGCCTCCCCACCAGCCCTGTGCGCCCCTCTGAGATTGTATCTAGTGGTCCCCGCTTTTGTGGCGCACGTGTCCCAAACCCTCCTTGGATGCTAAACCCACGTGTATATACTGTTTTTCCCTGTACACACCCATGGTAAGGTTTAATTTATAAATTAGGTCAGTAAGCGATTAAGACAAACAACTGGTAATAAAACGGAGCAATTTTCATTGTAGTATAATAAGTTACTTAAAACTTACGGATTTTTTATTTCTGGAATTTTCCATTTGATATTTTCAGACCAGAGTTGATCTGAGGGAGATGAAATCTCAGCAAAGCTACAGACTGGAGTGTGTGTGTGTGTGTGTGTGTGTGTGTGTGTGTGTGTGTGTGTGTGTGTATAATTCACTTAAAAAGGGGTCGTAATAAAGTCAATTTAAATGTGCTGTCTACAGAAAGACGCTGAGCGTGTGTTGTATCGCCTGTGTTATTAAGGGCTTGTACCAAGTACCGCAGTGTATACATATATCAAAACATGTTGTACACTGTAAATATATAGTTTTGAAGTGTCGAGTTAAAAAGAATCTTTAAATCTATGACATGTGGACTTTATCCTGAGGGCCATTAGGAGCTCTTTTTAGATTCCAGTAGAGGCCACATGAGGTGGAATCTCTCCACCCCAGGCACCCGAACCCCCATGCATTCTGCAAGAGCACATTTGTGTTACCTCTCCTGGGAAATTTTCCTGACGATTCCTTATTGTTAGAAGAGATGTTAAGGAAGCAATGTCACAGTGCCCAGCTTTCTCTCTGCCCAGTCACTCCTGGAGATTACACAAAACCCCCGTCTTGGACATTAGCTTTCAGAGCAAGCCTTCCCAAAGAAGGTGCTGTGTGTGGCCCACAAGAGGAACACATCAGAATTTGGAGGAAACCACTGATGCACCCAAATAGCCTTGAAACACTATCCAGGTGATTTTGCTAGGGATACCTTGAGGCAGGTGCCATCCTCATTTTTATTATTTGGTCTTCAGTAGCTTGACTAATAATATGTTCCTAGATATTTGTAAATGTTTTTAAAGGGTGTCATTTATGCAGTAATGGTCTCTGTAACACTTAGCAGTTATTGTTAACAGTAGTATTATTAATATGCACAATCAATCTAGCCACTTGAAATTGGAATCTTTTGTAATTTATATTTTAAAGATGACTAGCAACATTCTTAGTATACGATATTCACATCCACTGGTCTCCCTGAGGGCCATTATTAAGCCCTCATTAAGCCACGCGGTGGTGCTCGTCCTCCCTAAAGTTGAACTACAAGCTGCTGTTTGTGAGTTTGAGCCATGGTGGTAGTGAGGTTCAGTTTTGTGTTGCGAACTTGGCTGACCAGACCAAGGTTTACTTTTATTTGTTGTATCCTAAAAACATCTTAAATGCAGTGCTTCAAATAGTTGAACAACGCCATGGCTTTTTTGTGCTTTGCCCCACACTTAATGATTACTTAATAAGCGTAGAATAATGAACTGTGCTGGGAGCTGAGGGAGCCATGAGGATATGTGAGGCCGAGCCTTCCCGGTTCGGCTCCGTTGTCCTCTCTGGACGGAGCCGCTGGAACCCATGCTCACTGGCCATTGCCACCGGACCACAGAGCACTCTCCCTGCACCGCAGGTCTGCTTGTCGTTCCCTGCTCAGATCCCTCGTGATTTCTCAGGCTTCTGGGCAAGTTTTGCAAGATGTTCCTTAATCATGTCACTGTCTCTTCAGTGTGAGCTCTTCCACAGTCTCGGTGTCTTTCGCTGTGAACTCAGTCTTCCACGTTTCCTTCTCTTCTTTCATTTGCTCCCACAGGATAGTTTCCCGTCACTTCTGAAGCTTCTAGTAATGTACCTGGATGAGTATGCCTCCTTTCTTTGGTTGCTCATTACCAGCTCATTCTTTAGGCTCCAGCTCAAGTGTCAGGACTTTGAAAGTCTTTTTCATGTCCCCTCCCTGGGGCTTTACAGCAGAGGTCTTCTGTTCCTCTATGGTTACCATCCTGGCCCTGTCCTAGCTCTGTTCACTCCTTCTTGTGACTTCTCTGCAAGCACAGGTTTGGAGCTGTCTTGTTTTTTGTTTTTCAACTTTTGTACGGACAGCGTTCTGTATAGTGCATGGCTCAGTCAAGATATGGTTCAAATTAAATGGAAGATAAAACGCCACCAAACAATAGTAAACAATACAAAGGGAAATGTTATTTTAGTGTTTAATTATTATGAAGCATAGCTTAGAAGTACAGTAGGAAAGAAGAAAAAGGTACAATTTGTGGAAGAATTAGGGCTGGAGCCAGACCTTGTAGAGTGAGTAGAATTTGAAGAGTTAGCAGGGAAATAAGAAAGGGGCCTGTGGTGTGGCTGGAGGCCTGGACGTGGTGAAATCTGACGGTTGGAATGGTGAAGAAATTGGGTCACTGTTGGGAGGATGATAGGACGTGAGTTCGGAACTCACCTGGTGTGAGTGCTAAAAGGAATTTCCATAGGATCCACAGCGTCCCTTTCAATCTAGAGTTTGCTTTGCCAACAGACAGAGAATTATTTCTTTTTAAAACAGCGAAGGTAAGTTCCTCCTTGAGCACATGCCCACAGATTGTTCCTTGGTACAGCGCTGGCGATGTGTTTCCCTGGGGGAAATCAAACTGCACATCCTGGGCCCCATCTCCCACTCACTTTGGATTGGTGAATTTTTAAGATGAAATTGAATATGGCATCTAGATTCAAATAACTCACGTGAAAATGTAAATCCTGTACAATTTGAGGCAATCTCAGAGGTGAAGTTAAATTTTGTTACTAGCAGTTTTAATTTACAAAATAAGTTAAAAGATAAAGTGAAAAGATGTTAATTGCTATCATTTCCTTCTCTCTCTCCCTCTCTCTTTTTTTTTCATGTTGACTCCAAAAGAGTCTGATCCAGGTGAACACTCATTCTGGAAACTTGTCACGTTACCCAAGGTCGGCCTTATATCCTTCACCCTCATCTCTGTGAGCTCATGCTTTGGCTTCCTTGACCCTATTCTGTCTCTCTTTGTCTTGAGCAAGGTAAGTGGCCTGATTCCTGAAGCTCTGCTTTGGAGCAGATGGGCACAATTGCTTGCTTTTAGGCCGTTCCTTAGAGAAAGTCCTTTGAGTGGCTGAGAGCGGGAAGTGGACTGGGAACTGCACCCCAGTGTGCCTGTGCCTGCCCTCTCCGATGTCCCTAGGAGCTAGGGACATTTTATTACTAATTTTTTGTACCTGAGACAAAATACCCAAACCCTACACCTTAAAAGAGGAGAGGTTTAATTTTGCTCATGGTTTTGGTCCATGGTCTGCTGGCTCCAAGGCAGAAACACGGTGGAAGAGTGTGGTGGAACAGAGACGCTAGATCATGGTGGCTGGGAAGCAGTGCCAGAGAGAAAGGGATGAAGGAGCAGACACAGAGCCCAAGCCCACACCTCCATGACCCAGCAGACACACCTAGAAGTGCGCTCCACCAGTCGCCTAGATGGATCCCAAAGCCAAGCAGGTTGAAACTCCTCCCTAACCACCACAGACAAAATTCAGTGGATTCACGATCTGCTTCAGTAAGGAAGAAAGAATCCTTTCACTAGTGGCCAACACATTGGCATCCTTCTTTCCAAGACCCTGCTCGTGTCATTGTAGGTCAGACTTGGGCATCATTCATGCCATCTAACAAGGACAGATTCCCTCCATTTGTTGGACTTTTGGCCAGGAATTAGGGCTTCTCATGAGCTTAGTTAGTGTGAGGTGCCCACCTTGTCTCATAGAGCCCCTCTGGGTCCACTGTACTCTTTTAGGCTGTTTGATCCAATCAGATGACTATGGACTATGTCAGTCTGGGATGAGAGAAAGAAACCAAGACTCTCTTCTAGTGCTGAAAAATCAATATTGAATTCCAAAAGTTTGATATAGACTTTTGCTCATAGATATTTTTGAAAAAAGAACAATGTAATGGTTTCTCTTATAAGAGAAACCCAAAGTGTAAATAATATAAAGAATAAAATACAAGAAGAAAGGAAACAAGAAGTAACCTTTTGCAGATGGGAAGGTAATCTAGGGAGGGAGAGGAGAAGGAGAAGAGGAAAAAGGAAGTACAAAGGACTAAGATGTGATATGCTGAGTGTTATTAGTAGATTCACCATCATCATAAAAGCTAAAGAAAGCTGAAATCATTTTCAAAAAATGACTTAACCACTTAACCGTGTCAGTTTAATACAGAAATTCTTTTCCAGTTTAATTTACCAGCTGGATACGTGGGGTTGGTCTTCCTGGGACTGGCACTGTCCTATACCATTTCTTCCCCGCTGTTTGGCCTGCTAAGTGACAAAATGCCAGTAAGTGCACCTCACTTTTCCTTTTACGCATTTAGATCAGTGATTTTCCAACTATTTCTCTAGAACGTTTAAGGCCCATTGGTTTTCACTGACAAAGACAATCTGATTGAAGGAGAGATTCCAGAGTTTTCCAAACTCAGCCATCACCCTGAGCAAGCTCACCTTTAACTGCTTCTCGGGGGATAAGAAGAGTGCTTTGCTAAAACTGTTGAAAACGATTGGATTAGACTTTCTAAAGGGAAAGGCTTCCTTGATGAAAAATAAAATGGACTGAGCTTAACAATTGGGTGCAGTTGTAGAGGTTATTATGGGCCTGTGTCAAGTGAGAGATTTGCTTTAGGAGGAGACAGCTTGTCCTGGGAGAGAGGGAAGACTGGTGAGGTAGACGTGCGTGGAATATTCCATCCTCATCTTATCAGAAAATCCCTTCTCTTCTCTTTCAGGGAGATAAAATCCATTCAGTGTAGCTAACTGATATACAGAACTAGCAATGTTACCAAATCTCAAATTTCTGTGGCTTCTTTTGTAGCTTTTGTGGTTATTTTTGCATTTTTCCCTTTTCTTTAGACAGACTCCCATATGTATCAAGATGCTGCTGTGTGTGTGGGATTACTTACTACCTCGGGTGCCAAAATGGTATTGGCTTGAACAGCTTTTGAGCTGGGTTTTTAAGACATAGTCTTATATAACTGAACAGATATCGTAACCCTGTAACTTTTCACCTGACATAGTTTATAAGGTATAATTTTATCTAATACTATCTCAGGCTGTTCAAACTTCCATAACAAAACATCATAAATAAGAATAGAAAGTTATTTGTCACAGCTCTAAAGCATTGGAGGTCCAAGATCAGACACTAGTGATCTGTTTTCTGGTAAAGGCTCATTTCCTGATTGATTTTTTTATTATTATTATTATTAATTATTTTGGGTTTTTTGAGACAGTGTCTCACTATGTAGCCCAGACTGGCCTCGAACTTGCTGCTGTCCACCTGCCTCAGCCTCCTGAGTGCTGGGATCACAGGTGTGTACCACCATGCCCGGCTGATTTCCTGATTTATAGGAGGTGGCACTTTCCCTGTAACTCATGGAAGAAGGGACAAGGAGGCTCCCTGGGGCCCCCAGTGGTGAGGGCCCCACCTTCATGACCCAATTACATCCCACAGCCCCACCCCCAGTACCATCACACCGGGTGTTAGGGTTTAGCACATCCATGGCAAGGAGGCATAGGCATTCAGTACCTTTTCAGAGTATGATTTTTCCAGGTATTGTGTCTTCTTTGTAAGTTATTAGCCATTTGAAATAGTTCATCATGTACAAAAATCTGTAGTGCATTTCCTTTCTAAGGAATCCTGTCCCTTGCTCATTTCCGGCCTGTGGTAGATTGTCCTTGCTTTTGAGTTCATTACCCACTTATTTCCTCTTAAATGTAGAATTTTGTTTTCTTGAACATGTTTTGATTTTTGGATATCATGACTTATATGCTTTAATGGTTTTTCACATTGCTGGACCAAGGAGGCTTCTTACCTCTGAGAGTGTCTTGGGCGTTTTCTCTTCTCTAGCACCTGAGGAAGTGGCTTCTGGTTTTTGGCAACTTAATCACAGCAGTGTGCTTCATGCTCTTAGGACCTGCCCCAATCGTGCACATTAAAAGGTAATCCTTTCCCTTTTATGCTTTTGGTCAAATAGCAGCAGGAATTAATTTTAAATGTTTTGTTATAATGGTGGCATAGCTTAGTGTTTTAAACCATAATAAGTAATTGAATAATTACTTTGATTTAGGCCTGTTTTGAATGGTTAGACTATCATTGACTGAAACAAATAAGAACGCATAAAATCTTCACTGCACAAGGAAAATGTTTGTTGTCTCTGTATTTCCATTGCATACTTATTTGTACTTATTCTTAAAACAGCATTTGTTGCTACCCATCTTTGATTGATAGTTCTTAGATATATTTTTGTTTTTTCTACCATTCTTCTTTTGAGACAGGAACCAAACCGTTTTTGTTTTTTGCCATCCTTAGTGTGTAGTAGCTGCTTATGAAAGCTTGCTTGACATAATTTATTTGTTAAAATGAGTTTCTGGGGCCTTTTCACAAAATTCTAGGATGAAGCATGATATGGAAAAAGAGGGATTTCAGAGCCTTATACTCTTGGGTTTGAACTTTGGCTTTGCCACTACTATTATTGCGAACTTGAGCAAATCCCTTAACTTCCAAGAGCCTCAGTTTTCTTATCCATAGCACTGATGGAGCACAAGGACTAAATGAGATCGGCTGTATGAGTAACTGGCATCGTGCTCACCCTGGTACACAAGTTAGCTTTCTCTCTGCCTGTCACCCTTCCCTTCTTTGGCTTATTCGGTTAATTGAATTTCAGAGCCCAGTTACTGAATGAACAGTGTTAGTACTGATCTTTCAACCCATTTTGAGAGGCTTCTGTATGGTGAGAAGACAGATTGACTGCAAGCATGTGACTGGTGGGATAGGTGTGATGGGCGATGGTGTCTCAGGGATGAGCTGGGTTCTCCCCGCTCCTCACAGGTAGAAGGAGCTGAAGGTGATCTTGCCCAGTGGAATGGGCTGGACAAGGATGAGACTGAGGCTGGTCACCTAATCTGTAAAACCAGCTTCCCTGGGATCCTGGCTTCCCCAGTGTGAAGTTTTGTGCCTCTTAAAGGCTAAAGGTTTTTTTTTCTTTTCCAAAATTGTTTTGCAGTCAGATGTGGCTGCTGGTGCTGATATTGGTAGTCAATGGCATCGCTGCTGGGATGAGCATAATTCCAACCTTCCCGGAGGTCCTCAGCTGTGCATAGTAAGTGACGCCTGCTCCCTGAAGAGCTTCACTGTGAAGAGCAGTGAGTGTCACGGGCTGTTTGAATCTTTCAGTTTCTTAGGATGTAGGGACTTTCTCCCAAACCACCGTGTGTTTACAGAATATAAATATTGCAACAGAAATCCTATAAATAATAATATGATCATACAAATGTTAATATACAGGAATATTATTCCACTAATGGTCAAAATAAGTTGAAGATGGATGCTTTGCTTGGTTTGTGCCTTGGTGTAGAAGCAGTTTTTAAAAGCTGAAGCGGAGTGGAGAACCTTTGAGTTTTTCCTCTTGTGTGGAGAAGATGCGCTGACAGTGCAGGGTGGGTGGGCTTCTGTCGCCTGCACAGGGTCCCTCTGTTAAGTGGCAGGTGATGCAAGCCCCCATTGTCCTCTGACATCTTCATCTCAACGTAAGGAACAGATAATTATATGTTTTATAAGCATTTAATACAAATGATCATGGTGTTACTATATCTAATTGATTTAATAGAAGTGTATTTTAGAAAAATTATTTTACAAGTCATGAAACATCTTTTCAAGTTTGATTTGTTTCTTTGTTTTGGGGGTGGTTTGTTTTTAAGTGCAGGGATCCAAGCCCAGACCTTCTGCATGCTAAGCACATGCTCTGCCACTGAGCTACATCCCCAGCCCTAGTGTGCTAGGCTGTGTAGAGTGATTTTCTTTGGTTTATCTTAATATATCTGTCATAAAATCTTTCCTTTTCATAATGGATAGTCTCATGTCTCTCTTTGCAGTGAAAATGGGTTCGAAGAGGGATTAAGTACACTGGGACTTGTATCAGGCCTCACTAGTGCCATGTGGTCTGCAGGGTGAGTATTCACTGAGTGTCGTCCCCACCTCCAAGACGGAAAACACTGTTTCCATTTTACACCCAGAATGGGGATGCTAGAATGCCACAGATGGCCAATAAATACATGAAAAATGTTCACCAGCTCTGGCCATTAAAAAGCGCAAGTGAAAACCACTCTAAGATGCCATCTTACTCCGGGGAGAATGGCCATCATCAAATCAAATAATAGCACATGCTGGCGTCTTAGGTACTGTCTTGTCGCTGAGACCCAATACCCGATACCCGTCCTTCAGAGAAGGAAAGGTTTATTTTTGCTGGCAGTCTGTCCTGGTTCCAGTGTATAGTGGGCTGGCTCCAGGGCAGGTGCCTGGTGGAGGGGCGTGGCAGAGGGTGTGGTAGGGGCGTGGCTTACGGCGGGGCAGCAGGAAGCAGAGATCAAAGTGGGAGGGGAATAGACCCTTCCAAGCCACGCCCCCAGCGACCCCCTCCTCCAATCAGCCCTCACCTTCCAACATCACCTTTAGCTATAAACTCATCAAGGACAAATCCACTGCTGACTATCAGGCCCCCATGATCCAGTCACTTTCGGAAAGCCCCACTTTTGAGTCATCATATTACATGCATACCCATGTTTATAGCAGCACAATTCATGATGGCTAAATCTTGGAAGCAGCCTCTATGTTCATCAGTAGATGAATGGATAAAGAAAATGTGCTACTTGTATTTGATAGAGTACTGCTCTGCCAGACAGCAGGATAGATTTGAGTCATTTGTAGGAGAATGAATGCACCTGGAGACCACAATGTTAAGTGGACTAAATCAGACACATAAACTTAAATATCACATAGTTTCTCTTATATGAGGAACACAAAATATAAATACAAAGCAAAATAAAGGATTGATAATAAGAAATAGAAAGATAGATCCTTCTCATGGGGAAGAGGATTAATAGATGAAGGGAGGGGGAGAGAGGGGGTAAGGGGCTGAAAAACAGAAATAAGATGTTTCATATACACCACCAACACCCCACAAGGAACATAGTCTTTATGTACTGGAACATGGACTAATAAAAAATAAAAACTAGAGAAAAAAGAAAAGCAAAAAAAAAGTTACATGAGATTCTCAAAGACAGGGCAGATTGAGAATTCTAATCCACACCTTCTGACTCCAAAATGTAGCTTTAACAGCCAATTTAATACTTAAGCAAGCTGGGCATGGTGGTGCACACCTGTGATCCCAGCACTTGGGAGGCTGAGGCAGGAGAATTGCTGCAAGTTCCAGGTTTACCTTAGGCTACATAGTAAATTTAAGGCCAGCCTGAGCTACATAGCGGGAACTTGTCTCAAAAACAAAACAAAACATGGTCGTGGATTTAGCTCACTGGTGCCACCGCCTGCCTCAAAAGCTCAAGGTCCTGAGTTCAATCCCTGGTATGAAAAACAAAACAAAAACAAAAACTTAAACAAAATGGTTTCATATACACTGTCTTATTTATGTTACTTGTAAGATCCTTTGAAAAGTATGTCTCAGATTTAAAATTTATTCATGTATTTATTAGTTTTTACCTTTCATTATACCAGAAGGGTAAATATGTTTGAGCAATGCAATTCTGTGTATAGGGAATTAATATATATTCAATTGAGTTATGTTATATGCAAATACTGAGAAAAAAGATACATAGTTTTGAACATTTGTCATCCTTTTATTTCTCTGTAAGCCACCAATTTTTCCAATGCAGTTCTTGTTGAGAGTTGTTTAAAAATTTAAAGCATCATCATTATTGAGTGACTTTTTTTCTTTCTATTCTTTGCTTTCTTATTTTTATTTATTTATTTTTGTGGTGTTAGGGATTGAACCTAGGGCCTCATGCATGGTAGACAAGCACTGTACCACTGAGCTACAGCCTCAGTCCTAGAATTATTTTCTTATAAGTATTGCTAAGGCAGAATTGACCTTTAAAATGTTTTTTTATTCATTAAGTTTATTGGTACATTTTAGGTGTACATTGTGATCACATTCATCATTGGGAATTTGTACCTGTACATGACACATCTTGGTTCTTATTTTTCCCATTCTCCTTCCCTCCATTCCACTCCTCCACCTCTCTCTATTTGCATAAGATTTGTTTCCATTTTTTCATTTTTTTTCTTTCCCTTCTTTCCTTTCCCTTGCTGCCCCTCCCGAGTTCCCCTTCCCCTTTGAACATTTTCTTCCTATTTCACAATAACTATTATACATTGTGGTCCTCATTTACACTTTTAGTTTCTCACATCCAGAATTGACTTTTGTGTTTTTGTTTTGTTTTGTTTTCCATGCTGGGGATCAAACTCAGGACCTTGTGCTTGTGAGGCAGGTGCAGCACCCCTGAGCTAAATCCCTAGCCCCAAAGTTAACTTTCAAATTCAGTACTTAAAGTAACAATTAAAGAAGACCTGTGACTGTGGGATCATACGACTTCAATTCAGTAATTATTTTTTCCACTGTTTAATACTCGTTTAGTTTTCTTTCCACTGCTAGTGCCTTTATAGGACCAATGCTGGGTGGATTTCTGTATGAGAAAATTGGATTTGAGTGGGCAGCAGCTTGTGGAGGCTTGTGGCCTCTGACTAGTGTGAGTAACATGTTGGTTTTTTTTCCACTTTGGTTACATTTTGGAGAAGCTGAACTTGAGGATTTACACTAACCAGTGTCTTTCATTTCATCAAAGGGATTAGCGATGGGCTTGTTTTACCTCCTGGAAGACTCTAGAAGAAGGTATGCCCAGCGTTTGGACTGTTTTCTGTCTTTCCGGGTTGTCTTGTGGAAATTGAAATGAAATACTGTTCCACATCCTTTCTCTCACTTAGCAGAGTTCTGGGCACCTGGAGGCTCATTACTTGTAGACACTTTTTAAGACGCTAATTTGTTAGAGATGGAGGCACTGGGTGATTTTTAAAGACGAGAAGGAAAGAAGGGGAAAAAATAGAAAAGAAGGAAAAAACAGAAACAAAGATTTTTGTAAATAGGGAGGGGTGGAGAGATGGAAGGAAGGGAAGGAGAATGGGGAAAAAGAACTAAGATATACCATGTACAGGTACCAATTCCCAATGATGAATGTGATCGTAATGTGTACCTGAAAAGACTAGAGATACTAAGATTCTCCTCTCTCCCCCTCCTGGTAGATCTAAACCCCAGAGCTTCGACGGCACAGAGGAGGAGGAAGCTGCTCTTCTGCCCCTCAGAGTTTAGCTGGATCAGCTGAGTGACTGGGGCTGGGGGCAGGGAGCATGGCCGGAAGTCACTGCTGGGAGATTTCCTGTTTTATCACAGAGCTCCATGGACTCCACACTAACATGCTGGAAGCGTCAACATAATTTGGGATGATTTCTATCAGACTGCACTTCCTGTTGTCCTGAAAAGCTGGCCCTACCGAGCCAATCATATTTACAACATTTATTATGAGAAGGATTGTTGAAAAGCAATAAAAGTTTGTGTCTTTTTGTTTGTTTTGTTTTTGTTTTTTGAGACAGGGTCTCCGTATGTAGTTGAGGCTGGCCTTGAACTCACTATAGAGCCCAGGCTGGCCTCGAACTCATGACAACCCTCCTGCTTCAACCTCCCAAGTGCCATCGTTCCCAGAAAAGTTTGTGTTTTTAAATGGCAAAACTTTTCTTGAAGATATTGTTGACTCTTTTTAGGCTTCTTGTTACCTTTGTTTATTTTTTATTGTAAGATCACTGATTATATAAATATACCTTTTTATTAAGAAGGAAAAAATAAATTGGTATGTTATGTACCAATTACATAAAGATGACTCAAACTATATTAATAAGTAATATATTTAATATTGACTGTAATTAAGTCAATAAGTAATGACTTAAAATCTGCTTTTAAGAGATGTGCTTTCTTTTGTGACCTGAGATTTGTGTCCTTATTGAAAGGCAAAATTCCTTCAGTTTTTCTAAAAAAATTTTATGTGTGAAAAGAACAAGAATAAAATACAACTACCATCTGTGTGCTATATTTTCAACTATGATCTGGATTTGTAAACATTTCTAGTACAACGTTATTCATTTCCTGTAGTGTCTTCCTGTTTTGTTCCACCAGTTGTGGGTATGTGTTGTTTCTACTCCAGCCGATGTGTTTGGTCCCTAGAGTAGGTCGCAGCCCACTCCTGCCCCTGCCACGAGTGTATGCTTCATATGAGGGAAGTCTCCCTCCAACCTCATATGCAGTCCGTGCTGGTCTTTGAAGTGAGAGAATGTCAACTCATACATCTTCTCATTTTCATGCTGGAGTGGCCTATTTACCTTTTTATTTTTTAAGGATGAAAGGTTTAAATCTATTCATTCAAAACTGCCTTTGAATTGTTTTCTGGACTGACACTGTGCTGTGTGCTTGGGACTTGGCTGGGATCACAAGAAGCATCATCTCTACCCTCTCAGTGGAAAGGACAAACAAATCTGTAATCTTGAATTATCTCACCAAAAGGCTCTGGGAAGAAAACTCGGTGTGATAGAGCAGCTGGCTCCTGTTGATTAGGTCTCGGGCTTTACTGTGAGCAAGGTCTCTCCATGGCAGGAAGACTTTTGGTCTGAGATCTACAGAATGAAAATGAGATCACTGGTCCTTCATTCTAGGGAGAGAAGAGTCCCAGATTGTGCAGAAGGCTTGATGAGGCCAAAGATGAAACTGTCCCACTGATTGGAATCTGGGAAACAGGAGGTGGGGAAGTGGGAATTAGCCAGCCCCCCATTTTGGTGTGTGTGGTAGAACCCGGGACCTTCACACTGAGCTCATCCCCAGCCCTTTTGATTTTGTTTTTCATTTGGGGACAGGTTCTCACAAGACATTAAATTGCCCAGGCTTGGCTCAAGCTTATGATTTTCCTGCCTGAGGCCCCCAGAATGCTGGAATTGTAGGTGTGCACCATCACATCTAGCCAGTAGCCAGCCTTTAAATGGGATGCCAGAGTTTATTTCACGTCTGTGGATGTTCATTGCATGTGGATGGTGAGTGGGGATATTGTAAGCCAGGATGGTGATGGAGAACTTTGGAAGATGTGAGAGAGACGGCAATGGTTTGGACCAGAAAGAGAGAGAGAGGTGGGGCCTGGGGAATTGCGGCTGTGGAGAGAGGAGAGAGCATTCTAGGCTGCCTTGGTTTTGGCCTGAGAATATGGGTAGATGGCGTTGCCACTTAGCGAGATGGGGAAGAATAGAAAAACAGAAAAATAGGTCCTGGAAACTACTGAGGACACAGTACCACCACCACCTGAAATGCAGCTGCTTTGTGCTCATGTGGGACCTCTATGCTTCACTGCTACAGAAATCGTCACATGTGATACATTCACCACTACCTGAGCTTTCCAAGGAGGCAAACCATGTTTACTGTTCCTTAACATACTTCTAATGTACAGCCCTGTTCCTGGAGCAAATGTGCTGAAGGAACCGAGAAAATTACTAAAAACAGAGAGGTGGGTGTGCCCAGAATGAGCAGTGCTTCTCCATTTGGAACACAGTAATGCTGAGGCTCCTACAAGACAAAATGAAAACGGTTCATCACCAAGATCATACTTCCAATATGAACATATATGAATTCCATTCATACTTAAGGGTTTTAGTGGTGCACAGGGCATTATCAGTGAATTAGTGAGAGTACCGTTGTTTGCAGATGACATATAAGAAATTGCTTGTAATCACTCCTGCTGGGAGACATCTGATAGGAATATATTCTTGACCATATATAAATGGATGCAGGAAGTGTGTAGTTGGAGAGCAGATGCATGTCTCACTCTCCTAGTTCATGATCATGGTTAGGAACTGGTTCATTGGATAAAGGTGTCACTGATTTGAAAGGAATCTATATGGAGAAATATGACAAAGTGAGAGCAGCAGCATTTAAGTAGAATAAAAAGACTAAGAAGGAATGAAAAAGTACAGGTGGAATAGGTGTCAAAGAACCCAAATTATTTTCAGAAGTACAAGTTTTTCTGCTTTCACTGAGTTGATTTGTCTGGAAAGAGAAGAACAGAATGACCAAGGGAGTCCGGGATTATCCTAAAAACTTCTATAGCTTCATGTAGTGAATGCCTATGATTCTCTCTGCCAGGCTTCCCTTTTCCCTTCTTTCTTGTCTTGTTTCAGGTCTTGCTAAGTTTTCCAGGCTGGCCTTGACCTCAATTTTCTGCCTCAGCCTCTTGTGTGCTGGGATAACAGGTGTGCACCACCACACTCTGCCCTTCTCCCTTCTTTCTTACAGGGAACTGATCACTGTATTTGTATTTGTATCATCGTCCCTGGGTCCAAGGTGTCTGGAATATCGGTCAGGCCCGGCCAATCACGGACCAGACTCACTGGGCTCAGAGATTCACGAAAGGCTAAGCACACATGTGAAGCAAGGCCAGTGAGAATCTTCCCTAGGATTTTTGATTTAACAGTTGGAAAAGGAGTCTTCTGTCATCAGACAAAAGGAACAATTGAATCTAGAGACCCGGAAGCTGTCTTCACTGCAAACTGGGAAAAGCCTATGTCCAGGATGACAACAAAGGGGAAGCAAGAGAGAGAGCTCTGAAAATGTTTAGCTTCCTGGATCCAGTTATGTGAAACCAGAATCTCACTAGACTTCCAGTTCTGTGAGCCAAGAAGTGTCATTTTTGGTTCTATTCACATTGTTTGGAGTTGGATGACCATCACTTACCCTACCTCATTAGTGTTACCCTTTCTAATTCTGCATAGTGAATTGTACAAAATGTTCAAATGCAAAGACATTTTGTGCTTTTATAAGCTCTGGTACAACTCTTGGGTCACTCTTGGGCATAACAACCTCAGAAACAAACAAACAAACACAGAAAGGCCAGCAGCAGCTCCGTAAAGGACGGAGCATGGCCCTCGTCATGTGGAGGAAGAGAGGACGGGGGCCACCCTTAAAGAAAGCTGCTGGGGCATAGACACACCAACGCCCTGTGTGGCTTCCTTATGGAAAGGTGCTTCTTAAAACAAAGGAAGATGCCAAATTATTGTAACTTTTTAGGAAAGCGCTTCTGAGCCACAGAAACGTATGTATAATTAACTACAATGCATAACAGCTCCCCATGAAGCCCTGGCCCAGCTTTTGGCAAGAACAAATTGGGAACAGAGCAGAAGCCGTGTGTGTTCTTCCCTCACGGCATCTTCCTCCTTTGCTTGTCCCGTTCTCCGGAGGAAAACACCGTTTTAAGGTTTTCATGGATCATTCCCACTTCTCGGGAGTTTCTTCCATATGTGCATATCTCTCTTTAGTACAATTATTGCATCTTTTTTGACATTCGTATATATTGTAAATTACACATATTTTGCATATTTCATTTCACACCCAACATAGTGAACGTAGGCCATGTGACTAAGTATTAAGTTATTTCCTCCACTGTCCCTGCTCTGCAATGTACAATCACGCAGACAAGCTGATTATTAAGCTGCTGACTCTCAGCTCCAAACCCACCTTTCTGCATTCTTTGTGGTGCATTGGTGCCACCTAGGCAAATGTATTTTTCTCTTGCTGGCTGGATCCCTGAATTCTGCCAATAGGGGGTGCTAGCAGAAGACCAACGTTAGAAGGGGACTAGATCCTGCATGCTCACTGGTCAAGGTCTTCCCATCAGCAGTTGTAATTACACTTGGCAATGACAGCACTTTGTTTCAGTAGCAGTTTTTTGTTTCCGGTTTTTCCCTACACTCTCAGAACCAGGAGGACCGCCCTTCTCCAAAGCTGCCAGCCCTGGCCAGTGCCCCCTCCGCCAGCCTCAGCGAGCTGGTAGCTGACTCCTCAGGGGGGACTCCGAGCCCCTCCTTCAGAGGGCGGGTCCCCTGGCAACGTTCTGGTTCCTGACACCCTTTTGTCCTGGCTCACTTAGGGAAGTGGCTTCCTGTAATTACTATAGCTGAGTTACTAAATGTTCCTCATTTGTCCTTCACTCATCAAATACTTGTTTAGCCAAATTTATATATTAAATTTTCTTAAAATAGCTAGTGTGGATTCTGTTGTCCTGGCTACATCTTGCCTGATACAATGAATACAGCTTTATAGTTGGGACTCAGGGAACAGCGTCCTCCCAATACAGCAATTTGTGGCACACTGAGAAATTTGATCTAAAGGAAATTAAAGGCCTTAAAAGCATGTTCAGAATCATGGCCCTTCTATGGCTGCATCAATTGCTCCCATCCAAGTGCAGGGAGAGGCTCTTCCTGGAATACCTTCATCTGCATTAAGTCTGGATGGCAAAAGGGAGTTCTATTGCCTCCCTCACCCCAAAATCTCATTACTAGCATCTCAGAAAAGAAAACTGAAGGCTATCACCAAGTCTGGATGGATGTCGGCTATAATGTCCCTCCCTTAAACTCATTCAGATTCCAAGAATTGAGCTCCAGGACACACCGATATGAGGAGGTCAGGAAAGATGATAAGAAACAGAAAAGATCCTATGGAAATAAAACCAATACAAAAATGCAAAAAGCGAGAAAGAGGAA